TTAATTCACGTTCACCTTTCTTTTTGGAAAAAATCGTTCGCTTGTTTGGAGACTCGTTAAAGCTTCTTGAGCTGTTTTACATTTCCATCGAAGACTTGTGATTAAATTTACATCGTGCATATTCATTAAAGAATAATTTAACTAATTTCCTGCTGTTACAGCGTTTCTTGAATCTAACTTCTACTTGGTGAAAAATTAAATTGAAGTCTTCGAGATTCTACTTGAACAATTATACCTGGAATGGTTTAGTGAAATAAATTTTTCAACTATAACTCCTTTTTTAATCTTATTCTTGTTCACAGTTGAGTAGAAATGTTATCTAAAGAATTGGTACAACTCAATGCAGTTGTAAACAACATTTCTCCTTGCAATAAGTTTATTTTACACTTTCGCAATTTTTCCACTTTGCACAAAAATTCGAAGACTGGATTGTATTATAAATTTTCAATTTGGAATTTTTTAAAAATTATTCATAAAGTCTGCACACTCAAACTATTGTGCTTGAAATAGCAAGCAAGCAGGTAAGAATGAATATTATCAAAAAACGTTTAAAACATTTGTTTATGATATTAATAATGTAGATAATAATTTAAGAAGTTAAATTGTGTCCCAGGTTTTTCTCGAAAAACTACAATGGTTTAAATTAATTAGATAATTTATTCTTATTTAAGAAGTTACATTATCTAACAAAAAAACCACTGCAGTTTATCGAGAAAAACCTGGGACGCAGTTTATAGTTATCGTTATTGTATAATTGTTAAATAGAAAATTTATTACGACTTCAAATCCTTTGGTAACTTTTAGCCCACCCTTTAGTTATCATTGAGTTAACAATGAAGTACAATTTCGTAAGTTACAATTTTATTACTCGCGGCAATATTTAATTACGTTAAAAGAAAAAAGGAGGACGAAGAAAAGAGGGATGCAATGAATCAATGGATCTAAAGGATTACGAATTTTCTGGCGAGGCACTTACGTGACATTATTTTCCCAAACTGACTGAAAACTATTTCCATTGCATAAACTTTATCGTACAAAACAAATTCAATAAAAATATCTCTATTTTATAAACTTTATCATACAAAAAAGTTCGATAAAAATATTCCTGTTGTATAATCTTTATTAAACAAGTAAAGTTCGATAAAAATATTTCCATTTTATAATCTTTGCCATATAAATAAAATTTCATAAAAATAATTGTTAAATAAAAAAAGTATTACGATTTGAAATACTTCCGTGAATTTTGGCCCAACCTGTAGTTATCGTTGAGTAGATAACGAAGTGCAAGTAAACAAAATTCGATAAAAATCTTTCCATTTTATAATCTTTGCCATATAAATAAAATTTCATAAAAATAATTGTTAAATAAAAAAAAGTATTATGATTTGAAATACTTCCGTGAATTTTGGCCCACCCGGTAGTTATCGTTGAGTAGATAACGAAGTGCAAGTAAACAAAATTCGATAAAAATCTTTCCATTTTATAATCTTTGCCATATAAATAAAATTTCATAAAAATAATTGTTAAATAAAAAAAAGTATTATGATTTGAAATACTTCCGTGAATTTTGGCCCACCCGGTAGTTATCGTTGAGTAGATAACGAAGTGCAAGTAAACAAAATTCGATAAAAATCTTTCCATTTTATAATCTTTGCCATATAAATAAAATTTCATAAAAATAATTGTTAAATAAAAAAAAGTATTATGATTTGAAATACTTCCGTGAATTTTGGCCCACCCGGTAGTTATCGTTGAGTAGATAACGAAGTGCAAGTAAACAAAATTCGATAAAAATCTTTCCATTTTATAATCTTTGCCATATAAATAAAATTTCATAAAAATAATTGTTAAATAAAAAAAAGTATTATGATTTGAAATACTTCCGTGAATTTTGGCCCACCCGGTAGTTATCGTTGAGTAGATAACGAAGTGCAAGTAGCTAGGTTAAAAGTATAAATTACAAGTATACCGAATTTCCCAAGTTACAATTCGATGCTCACAGCGATTTTCAATTACGTTAAAAGAAAAGGGGTAGAAAGAAGGAAAGAAAAGGGGGATCGAATAAATCAATGGGTTTAAAAGATTACGAATTTCTTCGAGAAAGGATCGTGACATCCGTTCATTCATGAATTCGCCCGCGCCTTTTTTTAGAACGGTCCGGCAACCCGACCTAATATTTCCTCGCTGAATTTAACAATAATTTATTTTGCAACGGCGAACGCTTCCGGCGGTCGTTGAATTGCAAACGCCACGGGGACAAAGGTGAAGTGAGGAGCGGCAAGTAGAAGCTGTCGCGTGAAGATCAAACGTAATCCTGGAAGAAATAAAAAGGAAAAGGAACAGAGAGGGACAGCAGTGGAGAAATTCAGATCGAGCAATTTCGAAATCGTGGGAAATGTTCGACAGGCGGCGAGAAATTGAATGAAAGTCTGGGAAGTCAAATCAAAGGGGAGAGTCGACGACGAATGGAATTAGATTAGAACGAAAAATAAGTTTGAAATTTTCATACTG